GCGGCCTCGACGGCTGTGACGCGCCGTGGGTCTTTGTTCCGTACTGCTTTCTCGACCTCCAACGGCATTGGACCATGGCGATCTCGGACGCGCGGCAAGCGCGCTGCGACACGATGGCAGCCAATGGCGCCGTGTACTTGGAGCCGCTGCTTCGAAACGTGCCGCTGACGAGCTGGACGACGTGCTGGAGCGACGCGTTTGAGCTCACGATCGGCCATACGCTGCGCAACTCGATCCTCGGACACAGTTGGCTCGCGACGACGCTTCACGCGCGCAGCAATATCTCGGCGGTGCACGAAGCAACGTACTGGCGCGCCCACGGCATCCAACTCTTTGAGACCCAGTGGCAGAATTACAAGCGCATTGGGCTTCTCAATAGCTACGCGGTCACAAATGCATTTGGCGTGACATATCCATTTACGCTCCAGTCACTCAACGGCACGTACGGCCGCCACTCGGCGACGACACTCAAAATGTACTGGAGCTTTGCCAACGACCTTTTGCACGCGGTGGTCGTCAATGCCACGTCGTCGGACGGCACGAGCTTACTGCGCTCGGATGCTTCGTTTCTCTACGCCAACACGTCGTTGGAGGCGACGCTTGTCCAAGAAGGCGTCCTCGCGTGGCCCCTCGACCACGGTTTGGACCTTGTCCGGCAGCGCCTCGGGCCCTTTGGCAGCATCGACATGCACTTGATTGCGTGTCCGAGAAGCCTCCTTGACACCATTCGCAGCATCTCGGCCAGCGTGCGTGACGCGGTCCGGCGTCACCAGCACGTCCAAGACCTCTACTTCAACATGACGCTTGTGGATGCGATGCATGCAGTGCCGCAGCCATGGCTCGACGCGAAACTCATGCAGTTTGGTGCTTCGATCCTATGCCCGGCACATCCACCGACGATCAACCAACCTGTTTTCGGTGGCACGCTCATGGCGTTTACTTTGGACGGGAGCGAGTGCCCGACGGACATCACGTCCAAGCTGTACCCGTCCGCGGACATGCTCTTGGCCGCCGCCGTGCTTACGAACCTCTCGGCGACGACGCGCGACACTCTCGCAGACATCTGCGGCCACGATAAGATCAATGGCGCAGCCTGTTTACAGTACCTTCCTGATACCTTGCGGGTGCTAAACGCCATTTCGCCCATGGTGCTGCCGAATCTCAGTCGAGCGATCGCCGACACGTGGCAGCTCGGCATTGGCATGGTCACCTATGCACGACGACCGCCGTCGACGACGCTAACGCTCGAGCACGCACGGCTGCTGAGCGAGGAAGACCCCTCGTACGGCTTTTTCGGCTGGTGTTCGCTCTATGACTGGGCGATCGGGCACCGGCAAGTGGTTCAGTTCCAAGGCGACAGCGGCACCCTCACGCTCCTCTCCGAGTACATTGAGCCTGTCGCGCAGGCGACCTTGAGCTGGCAACTGCCCCAAAGCGCTGCGCGGTACGCCTACATTGGCACGACGTACGTCACGTACTGTCTTTTGGGGCTCGCGGCCGTCACGACGGCGTACATTCTTCGGAGCTATGGCCACGTGGAAGGCTGGAACATGGCCACGCTCAACTCGGTCGGTGGCATGGTCTGGGTGGGCCGCCCGCTCTTGCTGCTGCGCAGTATGACGGCCATGAGCCTCCTCTCGACAAGTGCTCTGGACTTGGCTTTTGACGGGCGCATCTCTGGCTTTACTGCGTCGCACAACCCGTGGTATACCACTTGGCTCGCTGCGAGCGAAGTCACGTGGCTCGTCGCCGTCGTCAATGACGTGGCCATGGCGGTGACGCAAGCCTACACGATCTACTACGCGACGTTCAATTTGGCGATTGTGTGGCTCGTCGCGGCCGTCCTCAGCATTCAATACCCCGTCGAACACGCGGCCTCGCTCCTTCCGACGTGCAAAATTGAGCAACTCGACTGGCAGCTTGTGTGCGAAAGCGCGTTGCTCCAAATCGGGCATCCCAGCCGGCTGATCACGCTTGTCGGTACGGTCTTTAGCTGCAACGGTCTCTGCTATCTCGCGACGCGGCTATTGTGGCACTATCGCCGAGCGGCAAGTCCAACGGGTGCGACCCACTCGCTCTTCTTGTACGCAGGCGCCCAGTACCTTTATACGACCGACCGCTGGCTCTACAACGACGTCTACTACCTTGATCGCGCCTCGGCCGTGCTCAACGGAATCCTCACACTGCGCTGGCGAGGCGTCTTGTACGCCTGCGACATCAAAATGTGGCGCATCCTCACGGTATCCCTGCCGACGACGTGGGACGTGCCGGACGCCCACCCGTTTGCAAAAGCATCGAAAATGGCAATGCCGCTTCGATCATGACGAGCACGGCTTCAGTCTATCAACGTATCAAGTGACGCGAGGGCAGAATTTCCTGTTCAAGGCCTCTGACCACCCGCAGGACCTCATAGACGGTCGTACAGTTGCTGCTAATCTGAGGAAAATTTCAGACGGAGTCTGCATCTAATAGATGGTTCGACGAGTCTCTCGCTCCTAAACCCTACTACTAGTGTGTACACCCACACCGTCTTGATTGTTGCTCGATAATACGTTGCGTGCAGCGTTGATACACGTACATTGATGCACAGATGTGGTGACATCAAATATTACGCTCGAAAAACATAGCCGATGGCGTCGGTATGTGGGCCGTCGACTAGCGTAGCTGTCGTTCGATCCTCGCTTGCAGCGACCGAATATTGCTGTCGTATCCAGTAAGCACATGGTCGACCAGTGCCGAGAAGCAGAAGTCGGTATTGCGGCAAGCGTCGCGGTAGCTCTAGCGGATCTCAATACCGCCAGTCATCTCGACTACGAACCTAATAAAGCAATTCATGATATAGACTTTTGCAACTTGCCTTTTGCTTGCGTGTGAAGCTGTCGAGTCCATGCGATAAGTACGATCCATCGCACTCGAAATGCCCCACCACCGCGGTCGGTCACATCCCACTTACGTCGACAGTGGATGTCCTTCCTGTCGTATGTTAAGACGTTAAATAACGCGTCAACACAAACAAATTAAAAGCTATTGGATCGATGGCATGCATGGCAATATCGTTTCGGATGACGTTCTGAGTGGCGATGTCCACTTGTCAATCTGCTGATCCATGACCGCTTTCAGCGTCCGAATGTTGTTGCGGTAGCCAACAAGGACAAGGTCAGCGAGGGCCGAGAAGCTCAGATCGCGATCGATCGCATAGGACGCATCGCGGTAGCTCTTGCACGGCACGTGCCCACGGCTGTAATATTTGATGCAGCTCTCGTTGGCGCTCACTGCCTCGACGACAAACCTAATGACATATCACGTCTGCGTCAACATCTGTAGGCGGTGCGTACCAGCCCGTTTCTTGGGGCACGTAGACTTCGGGTGGGTACGGGTACACCTCGTCTTCCAGGACAGACTTGGTCGCGAAGACAACGCGCGTGTCTGACTCGTCGTAGCGCTTGCAAGCAATGTTGCCATGCAGCTCAAAGTCACCGGGGAAGCGCAGAAAGAGCTCCATGTAGCACGTCGACTCATCGACGCCTGGCAGCGGCTACGGAGCGTACGATCAGATGCAGGCAACCATGGAGTTCATACCACAAGCGCGCCCGACTCGAGTGTCAACGACCTCTCAAGCGCAAACGTGGCCCAGAACGCCTTGGCCACGAGCTGAACGTTTGCGTGAAATGAGTACACCATCGTGCACGTAAGCAAGAGCTGGTCGTTATCGAACGTGACGGCCGTGTGGGTACCAATCTCGGTGGCGTCGTAAAGTCGCTGGGCAAGAAAGACGCTCTCGAGACGCTCGTACTCGGCGTCTAGCATCGCGTGGAAGCTTCGATGCCGCAGCGCTGGGTCAGCCGGTAAGCGCTGCAGTTTCCAGTCCTCGACATACGAGATGTCCATGAGCTTTGGTCGCTTCTGCACGATGCGCAGGAGCGCCTCGATCATGGCCAGCTGTTCCTGGACGGCGTCCTTCAAGCGGGCATTGTCTTGCTCGGCGACGCTGCGCTCGATGGCCTGTCGCCGTGAGATGCCCTCCCACGGCGTCGCGCAGATAATGTCGACCTCTTGGCGCTGCGTCAAGGCGGCCAGCTGCTCCGCATAGCCGGCGACCTTGGCGCGCAGCTCTGTGATCTCGTCGATGTAGCGCTTGCGCTGTCGCTTGGGCCGCGCTGGTCAAGGTCGCATGCTAATAACTCGAGATCGTCGGTTCTTGATGGATCCATGAGCTGAAAATGGAGATGTGGGTGCGCTTGACCAGTACTTGTTGCGTTTCCAAACAAAAGCTGCTTTATGCGAAAAGAGCACCTCGTCCATGACGTTTCCTGCCCATCTTGACTGCGATGTCCACTGCCGTGACGTGGCACGCTCTGTGATCGATCATGCATGCCAGGCTTGGCTCGGAGCTACTCGAAGGGCGGCATTTGGAACTGTCGGTAGACAA